AGCAACGTTCTCTCTTTAAGGACGTTTTCCTTCTAAAAAATCACAATATATTATAAGTGCATCTTTCTAGGAACAGAAGCCTAACTAATCTTTCCGTCATTGAGCCGAGAATTAACGATCTTGTTCTTGCATTGTTGATGTCATTAGATGCCTTCCCAGTCCGATTGTTCGCTAAAGATGACTCCTGTATGAAGCCTGACAGCTCGATGCTGCCCGCCCATCATGTTCAGTTACACCGAACAAAATAATTTTCACGCTAATAAGGAGATGTCAAATCACGTACTCCACTGCACAAAATAGATGTAAGCGATAGCGGTGAGTGTGTGTGTGTCGGTATGGGAGACACTGTGTTTGCTGCCCCCCTTTTCTGTGTGGGAAAAAAGTCTCTGTGTACCCATGGTGTGATGTGATATGACGTCGTACATAGCTTGTTTGTCTGTCTCGGTCTGGCCGTGTGTTTGATGTATTGTTGTGTTGGCATCGCGGCGGTATGATGTCCCTATCTGTCAGGTCCCATCACCGTCTACAAGCCGGCGTGCGAGCCGACGCCTCAGCTCGCGCCAGCCCGCTGGCAGGTCCGCTTTAATAATTAATAAAGTTTGGTGCCTAAACGGCGTGGCTGCCGCACGGCATAACTCCCCGCATTTTTTATGACATTGTGTTCTCGGAAAAATCCCGGTCCGATCATTTTCTTCCGCCTCACCTGGCTGTTCGGGAGCACCTCCTCTGACACACAGGACTTCTTTAAGATCAAGGCAGATATCTCCGGGACAGATTACGTGTCATCTTAGATACTTTTCCTGTTCGCCTAAGTGTTTGCGAAGTCATCCGTCTCATGAAATTAGCGTTTTATTCCGTTCACCGAAAGAAAACGAGACTGGGTCGTTTTGATGAAGACTTAATAATTGATGAAGTTTAATTGCTTCCCGTATCGATGGCCCTGCATATTCATATTCAGCGAGCGGGATAATTGTATTTTCGTTAGAGCCGTGTCTAAGTGGTGTGAGGGTCACTGTGTACTGGAGGTGGGGCGGCCGGTGTCGGGTCGGACTAACTTAATTTGGACAGCGGCGGGCCCAAGGATCGCCGAGGAGGACTAGCAGGTAAAATCCCTCCCATATATCACGCATCTTGTCTCTTTCTAAATCCAGATTGCGAACTTAAGCACCTGATTTACGGACGACGAAATGCCCTACGGGAAGAAAACACACAACAAAACAAATGTTCCTCGTCGAGCGCCGTGAATTTATGAAGGTTGGGGAACCTGTACAGAAATCAACTGTAATTTTCCACGGTGCAGAAAAGCCGTATCGCGTCTGAATGTCCTAGAATTGTTGAAAGCGTTCAAACTGCATATAAAGGGCATGTAGTTAGTGACCTTTAGCCGCAAGGATCGTTAATTGCGTCGTTGCCATGGCAACGTTTCCATGGTAATCACTCATGTTAATTAATTATTGCTTCAAAGGCGCAGGGAAACGGTTGTTCCGAGCAGAAAGAACTAACTATCCACGATTCGTGAGAAGGATTGGTGGGTCGAGCCGGGCTCGCCGGAAAAATTGGCACAACATGATAGTTTGTCAATTTTGCTGCTAGGACATATAATATAAAAATCACAGCACTGCAGTTTGTATTGGATAATATCAGACGTGCTATTATTATTACCTTCTGTATTTTATCTGTTCTTCTATCTCTACTATAACTGAAAAGCGAGGAGAAGTTGAATTTATCTCATGATAGTTTTATTTTGTATCTGTTAACTATATATATGCTGTTCATCTTGTTTTCTTGTGACCTGTACTTAGCCCAGCGTGGCAAAAATGTAGTTAAGGTTCATTCATTTAACGGCAAGCACGATACCAAAAGACGAAAAAGCTTTCCACCGCACTGTTCTATATCATACACTCTTGAAGCTAGCAACGACGATCTTAAGTTTGTCAATTCTGTTGCTAGTAAGACAAAAATCACAGCACTGTCATTTGTATTAGACAATATCGGATGTGACATTATTGTTATTGTTATTGTTATATGGTATATTTTACAGTGCAATACGAAAAGACAAAAGAAGCACCGTTCTCTAACACATACTCTGTTGTCAGTAACGCATACTCTCGTACTCTGAAAGCTGGCGCTCTGCGATTATATAAAGTCTGTCAATTCTGTTGCTAAGACAAAAATCTCAGCACTGCCATCTGTATGTGGCATTATTCAAATGTATAGCTACCTTCCTATATTTCTGTATACCCTCTATCAAAATACAAAAAAGCACCGTTCTCTAACTATGTTGTGAGTAAGGTGTACTCTGGTAGCTGGCGCGCTGTGATGATATAAAGTTTTGCTAATGACAAAAATCCCAACACTGCCATTTGTATTGCCTAATATCGGATGTATCATGTGACATTATTGTTACCTTTTCTATTTCTATATACCTTCTACTAAAGACAAAAAGGCACTGTTCTCTAACTGTTGAAGCTGGCATGGCGCGCTGCGATGATCTAGAGCTTCGTTGGGGGGGAAATCACATCATCCCATCCTTCAAGGTCGTTTTGTTTCGTTCCGACGTACGTGGCGGCTGTGCTGGTGACGTGGTGAGATTGAAGGTGTGCGGGCTCGCCCTGCAGGCAAACCTTCATCACGGGAACAGAACACGTCACCTCAGCACGAGAGAGCCGTCCTTTTCCCCCTCTCTCTCCCCACTCCGCCTGCCGAGGGGACATTAGTTCATCCAAGGATGAAAAGGTGTAATTAATGAGGATTGCAGTAACCTCGAAGTGCATAACTGGGGCCTTCTGACCCGGGAGTGTCTGCTCGCTACATTAACATCGCAGGCAGTTAGTGCGCTACTTTTTAGGTAAATGACTCTAGTGTTAGTCTGAACCGTTCGTTCTCTTGGACGAGAAGACAGGAGAGGGGTTTTTATCACGTCGGTACGAAGTTAAAGAGTTGTACGCGATAAAGTAAAGTAGAATGCAAGAGTGCTATGGTATTAAATTTTCATTGTTGAAAAGCCACGCATGTATGGATATGTCTTCACCATTCTTCCACGTGTGTGGCGGTTATAAACACATGTCATGTTCAACCCTGTGTAGCAGCCAGTATTTCAACTTTGATTAAGCCACACACACACACAGATAGAGGCCGGCCACATACAGACCATAATAATCACAAAACTCCTTTACTGACATTGAAGTTGTAAATGAAATTGACTGAAGCGATCGCCATTATAGGGTACATGGGACCATTTCCGTCGGTTTCGTTAATGAGTTGGACTAAGCCCAAGTGCGCGGAGAGAGAGAGAAGGACGGAGGAAAGTATACGGCAACTTCGTTCCGGTGTCAGGGAGACCCCCGCACGTCGGAGCACCTCCATTCTCCCCGCATCTGCGCGTCCGTGCCCTGGAAAGTATAAATTTGCACGAAACGAGAAATTATGCCGTTTGTAAGACAGAACAAGGTGCGAAGAGTTATGGCCGTGCTGGCTGCCCAATCCCGCCACGGGCGGTGAGAAATAACCGTATATTCCGGCCCGGCAGGTTGAAAACTTTGTTGTGGGGACGCTGCGGGTTGGGGAGAACAGGTGGTAGCTTTTGGGCCACAGTTCGCCTGTGTGTATTTATGCACGCCTTATTTTTGCCCTCTTGTGCGTGTCCTGGAGGCGTGTATGTAGAAGAGGTCGGTCTCAGGCCTTCTCCCCGCCCTCGCGCGACACCGTAGAAGTTGGTCTGTGTGCTTGCTGTGTGTATGTGGAGTCAAAGTTCGCGGTGCTAAAATAGTCCAAACAGGTGGCACGCCGTGATGTATGTTCTAGGTCACCGCCAGGCCCCGCCCCGCCCCGCTCTCGGCGTCCTGTCCCGGGTAGCGCGCTCCAAACTTCGGGTAACAAGTCGGGGACCCCTTGGCCCCTCCGCCATGAATCAGAGCCGGGGTGGAGGAACCCGGGCCAGGATTGATGGAGGAGTTTCTGGTCCCTCCGAACTCATCCACTTCCTCGTGGATAAACATGAACACACACTCTCACCAGCCAGCCAGCCAGCCAGCCAGTCAGAAGATGGATGCGACTTTCAGGAGAACACGGACACTGAGAGCCGCCTCACATCCGCGCTGCCAAGAAAGTAGCTATAGCTTTCCTCCCTCCCCCGAGACGTGCCCGCCTGGAGTCGCCAGGTCGCACGGCTTCGGCTGTTGTTGTTTTGGGGAGAAGTTTAGCGCACGGGTCACAGAGCGGGGGACGCCGGAGCCAGCGGCCCCAAAACCGGGGTCTGTAGCCATAAATATAACCGGCTCCTGGCAGTCAGTGTGCACAAGGCAAAGTTTCTCTCCCTTTTTTATACCACCAATAAATTCGACTTGGCGCGACTTTGAACCCTTACTTCTGGAACACCCTTGCACCGTGCAGCTTTCCAGAGTGTACTTGTATTTCACATCATCATATCGTAAATCCACCAGGCTCAAAAATGTGCAAGCTAGCTGTAAGAAATTTTGCCACTAATTCGTTTTGATTCTGATGACGACTTCACCGCTTTTCTCTGACTCCCTCTCGAGTTGAGGACACGACCGTAAGTGTGTGGATGTGTGACCTGTCCACGTGATGTCGCTAGCGGTTGTTGGGAGGGAGTACAAGCCGACGACGTCGCAGTTCGCGGTGAAAGCAAAGCTATTTGTCAGCAAATGGCCATACACAATTAAGCGCGCGTTGACACGTCTGCGCGGGGAAAATTGACTCGAACAAACGAGACCATTCACAAGTGTGCCTACTCCCAAATTCAGCCCTCACTGTCAAGTTCGCGACCCCGGCAAGCCAAATCGACTTTACCTTCATTACCCAAAGTACGGGTCATGCCGAGGAGACACCGGGGTCTCGCGCCCGCCATAAGTCAGGTCGTCGCCGCGTCCCATTTGTAACCAGCCGAGTCTACCGGCATGAGTCACCCGCTAAGAATGCGGGGCTTGAGAAGTGGCTAGTATGTAGTGCTACTAGCTAGTAAAAAACTTGAGCAAGTTTACCGTGTGTACGTGTGTGTCGCCGCTGTCGCTAGTCTGCAGGGCTATGACTGAGATCATCCTGTCACCAGCTGCCTTGTTGTTGAGCTCAAGTTGCCGGCTTCAGCTAGAAGTCACCGGGCAAATCCAAGTCCAACAAGTCTAGCTAGTCTTCTGCGTCTCCTTCTGAGTCGCCAACACTTACACAACGCTGTCCGAGCGACAAGACTGGACCTTCAGACAACACCGGTTGACAAATGGCAAACCAAAAAGCGACGACAACATAACACCCTGCCGTAGGTGAGGTTGACGAACGGCTGGGTGAATGATTGTTTTGTCCGCAACACCGTCCCAACGCACATAAACTCGGAGCACAGGAGGGCCACTTTGGCTCCAACGCTCCGTGACACCTTGAAGACTAATCATGTAGTTTGTGAAGACTTTGACTCCTCGCTAGTAGACCAAACTGCGAACGAACAGAGCTGGACAGAAGTGCGTTTTTTTTATTGTCCGCTGCCGTCACAAATCACAACCACACGCCTCCTACAAAACTTTGTTATGTTGTAGTTCACTGAGTTTAGCTTCGGTCGGGACTGGTTTTCTCCTCCAAAGCTGTATTTGTGGCCTACAGAAGTAATAAACAACTCAAGCTATGGTTCCTGTCATCGCTAGACACACATAAGAAACTCTCAGTCTCTCACCACAACACTGATGAACACTGATGGATGTATTTAACATAAATGGTAACTACTAGTATATATTGTTTCACATGAACCGACAACACCTACCATACATAATATTCCGGTATTTCCTATCCCACCTGTTGTAATCATGTTAATCTGTTTGCTTCCTCGTTATATATTTTGCAGCCCGTAAAACATTGTGCAGTTTATATATAAGCCTACAATGCCTGACTGCATACGACTCGACTTAACATATGAAGTGCTATATTTTCATACCCTCAAGCACAAATCATGAAATACATAAATAGTAACACTCTGTTAGGATTACTGGGGGATTATTTTCGCCCCTCCTGGAAACATTCTTTGATCCTTAAAAGGTGGAAATAAACGCTAACAAAGTGACGGAAATACGATATTTGGCTTTCGAAGCCAACATCCGTGAGGTAGTTATAAGGGCCAAATATAAGGATATAGAATTCTCTGTTGTACCAAATGAAATCAGGTTTTGTTAATCCAGTAATCACTACACTAAATGTAATTGTACAAGACGAACTGAATGGTGGCAGTAACGTAGTTGAGTTGTAGTAAGAAATATTAATATTGTTGAGACGCCATTTTGCGACATAAAGAATTTATGCAAAATGAGAACAAATCTTATTCCAATAAATAAGATACGATAGACCCGACGCTAAGCGGTACAAAACGATTTTACAACTAAAGAGTACATGTCAGAAAAGTGGATTCCCGGCTAAATGAAAAGATAGACAGACAATGTATATGTTATAAGTGTGCTCTACGACATAGTGCTACACAGTGGGTTGCTTGTGGATAGTAGTTGGTTTACTGAAATTGAGTTTGTAGTTTTTATTATCTGGAGCTGGATTTTTAATGGTATTCTTCACCTGCAAACAATTGAATGAGAGTTGCCGACTCCCCTTTTCCTTCGTGTCCATACAGGGTTACATAAAATTCATCATTTAGTTTGTATCATTTTGAGCTGGGTTTTTAATGATATTTTTCATCTGCAAACCTTTGAAAGGCGTGTGAGTTTACCGACACGTTTTCCTTGATTGTTCAACGGTTCGTCCTTCTTGATAATGAAACTTGTAAGACTAAGAGCTTGTCCATAGAGGGTTACGTAAAATTCATTATTTAGTTTGTCCACAGAGGTTTACTCAAAATTATCATTTAGTTTGTCCAGGGAGGGTTGCTTAAAATTCATTTTGAGCTGGATTTTTAATGATACATTGAAGTTCGCCTAGCTGCAAAGGTTTAAACTCTTGAGTTACCGACCCTGTAAAGACTAAAGGCTTGTCCATAGATGGTTGTTAAGAATTCATAATTCAATTTGTATCATTTTGAGCTAAGTTTTTAATGAAATTGTTCATCTGAGAACGCTGGAAAGTACGCGTGAGTTTACTGACCCTTTTCCGTCCTGATAAATAGTAGCTGTAAGACTAAAGACGGGCCGCAGCTCGGATGACAACATTACTTAGTTATAGTGTCAAGGAATAGCGCTGGAGGGGGGGAGGGAATCTGACATCATATCATCAGGATATTTTACTGCGGTTGTCACACCGCTGGCAGGCGTGAACAACCTAACTGATCTCCCGCAGATGTTGTCTGTCACCCAGGAAATGTAGTGCTCGTACTTCTCTCTTCTCTCTGTGCTGTTGTTTAGTCTACTTTTTGCCGAGTCGCTTGTTTGAATTACAAATGCGGCACAGGGAAGATCGATTGATTGTTTAATTGGTATGATATACCCACCTGAGGTGGGCGTGCTGTGGTACTTTCGGCGGCATTTTGTCCAATTTGTTCACGTAGTTCGACATTAGATAGACAGTTCTACAAGTTAGCTATACAATTTTACTCACACATAAACATGCAAGTATTTGTAGAGAACATATGTATTGAGAATCCGGATACCTGTTGCTATACTGTTGTTAAGTAACGTTGTACGAGTATGATCTACTAGTGAGAGTTAGCTCATTTTGTCACTAGTATATGATAAATTATTGAATTTAGAGTTTGTAAAATCACTAAAACAACTATGTCTCACTTCGTCTTTTGTCATCTTTTACAGATACTAACTAAATAAATGTGCTAAATAATCAGGTCTGATATCTTTGCTTTAGCTCGTAAATTTTGTCCCGTCACAGAGGAAACTTTCCCTCGTATACTACTTCTCGAAAAATCTTCTAGGCGCTGTTGGACTCACATCAGTACTTTTTGGTCGACAAAGTGCACATGACAAATGAACAGGACCCACTGGCCGTGACCTGGCGTCGGGGAAGTAATCAGGAAAGTCATTATCGCCTCAAAACGTGGAAGTTCTCCGCCTTGATCACGTCTTGTTGGTTCACCTCTTTGCTCGGAGGGGTGCCGGGAATGCCCAGGCAGCGAGCGCGGTCGTGTGTCGCCCGCCCCACTCAGGAGCGAACTTTCCTCGGTCCCGGGATTATGGTATTTCCTACACCGTTTCATTTCACTCACATATCGCTGCCTTCCGGCCACCATACATCATGCAATTACAGCCTGCAGGACCGTCCAGCCTGGCCGGGCTGTGTGTGTGTTTCGGAGGGGGGAAGAAATCTAATCTGACGAAGGTGCTCTTTCCCTGCAAAGGTTCACGCCACGCATATCAGCGGACTACAAGATTTACAGCCCCGAGATTTTCTTGTGCTGCCAGACCGCTCCGGTTCGACCGGATCGCCCAACACCCAGAGCACCTGTCTTTAGCCCGCCAAGGAATTCGCGCCCTCCGCGACACCCGAATCAATCTTGCGCCGGCAGCGGGCGCACCTGGCCTAGATGTAAGAGAACGCCGCTGAAATCACTCGCGGCATTTCCTTACTATTGAAGTTTCCCCACTTTTGAAGAAGTCTATATCTCGGTTGAGAAAGTTTTTCCTGCGTCCTAATTTGCGGCGGAATCACTCAGATCTGTACATTTATGGGCGGGATTGATTTTCTTTGACGTCGAGAGTCCCCAAGGAGCTGCCTCTTCTTGCCTAATGTTTCAATTTTTCAAAAAAAGTTCAGCCGACTTCACTCCGGGCCGCTGGACTTGGAAAACTCGCAGCTTCTGTCTGGCAGCGGTACAGATGTTTAAGTTGTATAAGGTCAACGTGTTGCTATCTTTCACTCATTTCTCTGCTGAATTATGTATCCTCCCTGAAGATGATTTTTCTTCAATGCTGATGAATGTAGATAATTTACATTCATCCCATGTTTTGAAGCTGTCCTGACACTATAGCTAACTCAAATCAATGGTCGCCTAACATGTTCTAATTCGTTTCAGTTCTTACCCTTTCTGGGATAAATATGATCAAGGCCTAACGTCTAATTTATCTTTATTCATTCATTGATGAAAATTGTATCAACCACCAACACGGGAGACTGACGTCTCGCGTTGCATGCCGGGAACCTGACGTCAGAACGCGTCACATATAGGGACGTTTTCTCACGAAAAATTCGTCTGCTGAGTCGAACCACAGTTCAGATTTGTCAGATTACTACCAGTTCCTGATTATCTCATGGGTAACGGAATAATGGTCTTATTATAACGGATCTTCTGTGAAAGCAAAGCATCCAATTATGACTGCAATCACGTTTGTCACTACTATAGTTGCCCCCCCCTCTCCACAACAAGCTTGAGGGTGATAAGCATTTTGCCCAGGATAAATGTCAGTTAAGATGAATTAACGTTGTAGCTTATCATGTGTTTGCTGCGATACTATGTCATTAGCGACCCATACTCCATTCATAGCTGTCCGGGCAGTTATTTTTTCAGTGCGTGTAATTGTAAAATGCTCAGGGGAAATTAGCGGATATATGTAACTACAGTTAAAAGACAAGTTGGAATAGTAAGAATTTTATACGCATAACTCTCTCGCAAGTTGTTGTTATTGTAGCCCTCGGAAAACACGTAGTGGAACATTTTTCCTTAATGAGATGCAGATGTCTGACGTTTAGTTCAAGGCCACGACATGACCTTCGATATCAGACATACTAGTATATACCTGGGGCCTAGCCTCCACCAGGCTTTCCTAAAGGGGGTTAAAATGCTAGGACTTCGGCAAAAATTACTCTCCAAGCAGAGGTTAGGGGTTCAGCTTGGAGGCTATTTCTCTTCTTCGTTAATGTGCACATCAAGTTTTTTTTTGTCCCCGCAGTTCGTAACTGGATGGGTCTTACTCAATGTGGGTCTTACTGAATTTTGCGTAAAGGGTCGTCGGGACCCCCATACAGACCATCGTATCTATATGCGCCAGTACATCTCGGGACCCCCCATGCAGACCCTCATACCTGTGCATGTCTATCACACAGAATAAGAGTTATCGTATTTGTTACATCGAGACCGTGACACATTCGTGACCAATTGACGCAAATATGTCAAAATCCATGTTCGGATTCAATTTTTATTTTCATTCAAACAGACAGAGTTTGCATTACATTTCTCACCTTTGTGCAAGCTCAAGGTTAACATTACGTGTATGCTGCGTTCTGCTCAACAGAGACTGTGACTAGATACCTAGTGACTATACTGCAACTGGGTTATCTGTACCAATATGAATTTAGATAATCAACGTTACTGCAAAACGACTTATATATGCTAATGATATTTAATATTCCGGTTATGTTAAAATGGCAAATTAACAATAGTGTGCTGAGGAAACACTTTGTGTCATCCTTGACCGATACGCACTCACTGAACAGAAGTTAAGTTCCGGGGTGATATTTTACACTGGCCGTTGCCTAATCTCCAAGCAGATCTTTCGGTGGCTGCAAAGGCAGTATCAAATTGGTCAGGCAGTATCCATTTTCCAGACAGTTACCATTTGCCACCCGTTAGTTAGGCGGGCGTAAAAAAAAGATACCACTACTACAAAAGAGAGATACCGATAAAACGCCTAAATCACGCCAAAAATTAATGAATTGGTGAATTAATGAAAGGCCTTTATTGTACATGTATGCTCTTACAAGCTAAGTACAGGTCATGTATAAAGCACAGAGATATCTCACTTTACATGATTTAAGGTGATATCTCACTATATATACTGTACTATACTATACTATACTATACTATACTATACTATACTATACTATACTATGCTATGCTATGCTATGCTATACTATACTATACTATACTAGTACTGTACTATACTAGTGTGTACTACTACCTGCTGGTTCGACTACTACTATGTAAGTTACAATTTCAGCTTCTGCTCGCTTCTTAATGCCAAATCCCAAACCTCTGCTTGGAGAGTAACCGTTGCCCCTTCAGGACAAAGGTCGGTTATTGCCAAAAATTTATTTCCAGTAGTGCTCTACACACCAATCATCCCGCTGGAAATGAAACCTCGCAGCTTTCAGGGTGATTATAAGATCCCATTACCCTTGCAGCGGGAGCGTCTTTACCCTCGCAGCACCTGCCTTGGCCGCTGGCCATCCCCCCACCCCGAACTGCCACGACCACGCCGTCTAAAGTTTCGCCGTGATGGATGACGTTGCTTAACTTGAAGGGACAGGAGCATCAGGCGGCCATGGTACTCCCCGCACATCTGTCCCGGCCGGCCCGAGCTGCGGTAATAGCCCGCCCTGCCTCCAAGCTATGGGAAGAACCAACTATCCCGCTCCTCTCCGGCACGCCATTACATTTTTTTTGCTCCCAC